CCCAAACCCGGCCCAATGGCCCTTTTCTATCAAATACCCTTTTAAATCTGAAAACTTTGAAAATTATAGATTCACCCCAGAATTTTTTTTGTCCCATAATGATGTTTTCAAAATTTCAATTTAGTCCCTGATATTTTATGGTTTAGACAAATAAAATATATATTAAATATAAATAAGGGCAAAGTACAGTTTGCACCCCTGAACTATAGAGCTTGTCACAAACATCTCCCTAAACTACAAAATGTAACAAAATGGTCCCTCTGTTTTCAATCCGTTTGTGTGTGATGACGTGGCTAGTTGACTTTTTTCATTTTTATGGCAGCACTATAATTTTGACGTTTTGACCCTCAATTTCCTATATTTGTATCTATACACACATATAAAATACACATATATAAGCTCAAAAAAAAAAAAAAAATTAAATCATATTACCAACAAATTCACGAAATTAAACAAAGATTCCTTCTACTTTATTTCTGTTCACAAACATAATATTAAATCCTATAAATCATGATAATACTGTAATGTAGTGTTGGAAATAAAAACAAATTAATTATGAAAAAGAAAAAAAAAAACCCGACCATCTTATGTTTTCTCTTCTCCGACGGCTTATGTCTTCTCCAGTTCCAGCGCATCAATCGCTAATTATGCCTCCCAAATAGCGAAATCAATTCTCCAATGACTCTAACCCCCAACGACTCTCCAATTTTACCATTCGGGAACCCTTGAAATCTGTTGGCAGGAGTCGGCGGTGGGTTTTCAATTTCAATTTAATGAGGGGGCGAAGCGAACGACGTCGTTGAAGGTGCTGAATTAAGAAGATGTTTGGGGAATCGATGGCTGAGTGAAAGAGGTTTTGAACCCTGCTACAACCTCACAACAAGGGCGCCGTTGTTGTTCTCCCGGGCCTAGGTTGGAGGTGGACGTCTGCGATTTCACCATGGAGGAGATATGTGGGCCACCTTAGCCGACCTTCAGGGAGTGGAGCTGAAGTCAATTGACGGGTGAAGAAAGATAGTGACAGTGGGAGGAAATGTTGCCGAGAAGAGGCAATCCGGCAAAACAAAAAACAAGAACAAGAGAGAGAAAGTGGTTGGCAAGTAAATTATTCTATTATTTAAAGTTTGAGGATAAATAAGTAAATGAACAACAAAACTAACGGTGTTAGTTTTATAAACGTGGACCAGAAATTACAAGGGCTATTTTGGTACGTTTTGTAGTTTAGGGAGGTGTTTGTGACAGACTCTATAGTTTAGGGGTGCAAACTGTACTTTCCCCTATAAATAATAATAAGAAATTGATCTGTCATAACAGGTAATGTGATGGTTGGTTGAATGAGTTGACATTTACAGTATAAAAATACATAGATTAAAAATAAATTAGGTGATGTGGCTAATGAGTTGGACGATTTTGGAGGGAAATAAAATATACCATCATTTTTTTATTTGATGAATGATATAAGCATTTTTTCAGTAACTATTTTTAATGAATATTTCATAGTTTTCAATTGATAAAAATAGTAATTAATTATATTTTATTACTCGTTATTGATATTTATTTCTCTTGGTTTGATCACGAATTTTATGTTTTGAGGCTCTAGAATGTTTTTTTGGTACATTTAATTTAATAGAGTTTTGAATATATTTTATTGTTTTTTGGTAAATTCGTAAATGTGTATTTGATTTTTTTATACTAATTATGATTGTGCATTTCATTTAACTTTACAACAAATTTTCATAAAAGTTTTTTTTTTCGTATTTTTGTTGAATTTGATTGTTTGTTCAATTTCATTGTAATCACTAAGTATAGATTCGTAAAAAATGAAATATTTTGATAAATATAAATTTAATTACTACTTTTATTAAATAAAAACTAATAAGTATTAATTAAACTTTAGTTAGTCTTATTTCCTTCATAAAAATATAATTGTAGATTTTACTCAATGATTTATTGTGGTTCTTTACTGCAAATATAATAAAGAAATAAATATATAAATTAATATGTTACATTTTTCTCATTATTTTGGTGAATTTGACATTGATGATCAAATTGCTCTCCAAAGTAGGGCTGGGACTTTGGGATCGGGATTCGGGATCCCGTCCCGTCCCGAATGGAATTTTACTATTTGGGACTAAAACTTCGGGAATTCGGGATTACGGGATTCGGGATCGGGATTTGGAACTAATACGGGATCGGGATCGGGAATTGGTTCAATCCCGATTGGGATATTTTAATCCCGAATTAGGAATTAAGAAAAAAAAAACTAATAAAACCACACACACACACACACACACACACACACACACACATATATATATATATATATATATATATATATATATATATATATATATATATATATATATATATATATATATATATATATGAGAAATACAATATAATATATCGTTTCAACTTATTTTTAAAATTTTAAAATTTTATTTGTTCCAAGTTTTGTGGTAAAACTAAATAGTGCAAGAACAATAGTATGTATATAATATATTCAAATTGGTTTAGTGTATAAAATAATACTAATGGTAAAAAAAAACAATATTTCTTAGTGTTTTAGGCAAAATATGGGATTCCCGATCCCAATCCCGAATTCCCGAAATATTTAGGGATACCGATATTATCGGGATTAATAGTATGGGACGGGATTGGGATTTAAGATTTCTATCCCGAATCCCGAAATCCCGATCCCGAAAATCCCGAATTCCCGAAATCCCGTCCCGAACTCACCCCTACTCCAAAGCCATCCAACTCATTAGCCACATCACCTAATTTTTTTTATTTTTTTTTTTATATTTTAAATGCTAACTCATTCAACGAACCCATCACATTACCTGTTATAGCAGGTCATAGGACCAAAATTCCCAATTTTTGTAACTTACAGGACTAAAATTCTAATTTTGAAATACGGTGGACTAAAAAACTCATTTTGCTAAACAATTAGCACATACCTCCTGTATTGCATTTGCTAGTTAACGACATTAAGACCCCTACAAACTGGTCGTGTGATCCACTCGCCAAATATGCGACTGGGGTTCGATTTTTTGACGTGAAAAGACTCAAATACCCTTTAAATTATAAATTTTAAAAATAAGCCCCAAATAAAATTTTCATTTTTTTCAATTCAGTCCCTTAAAGTTTCAAAAAGGCCCCCTTCTTCCTTAAGTCAGGGACTAATTTGCAATTTTACAAAAATACACTGAACATAGCTGACCGCTGCTCTCCTTCCGGCGAACACTCTCTCCGGCCTCACCTACCTCCATATCCTCAGTCTCAGCTTCGCCCCACCACTCCAACATTTTCTTCGACGAAATTTGGTTTGGTATAGAGCTAAGATTCAAGCTCATTATTCTTCTGCAAAATCATCAACCCGTGAAAATTCAAGAAAATATCTGCCCTCATCGAAAACAGAGCTTTTTAGAGAGAAAAATCCGCCAAAAAAACTATTTTTTGAATTTCTTGGCGTCTTCTCCGACGTCTCCCGATAGTAGTCCACCATTATGCAAGGTACACGAAAAAAACTATTTATTTGCTTTTTATCGTCTTCTCCTTATCGTCTTCTCCGACTGCAAATAGGATAAATGTAATTTTCCTTCTATATTTTGAATTCTTGTCAAAATAAAAAAAAAAAATTAAAAAAAATACACCATTATATTTTCCGTTGTAAAGGGAATAAAATATCCCTGCACTAATACTTGAGATGCAAAAAATTGATTTTCAGGATATTGATTCAGAGGCACTGCGGATCCTCGACATCTGTTACGAACGTGCTAAATCGGTACGTCATAAAGACATTATTACCCCTTAAAACAATATTAATGGACAAACCTACTAAAATTTTGTTCCGAATTTTTCTTCACGCAGATTCTTGAGCAAAACCGAGGACTTATGGATGCCGTTGTCGAGAATCTTATTGAGAAGAAGAGTTTAACCAAACAAGAATTCTTTAACTTGGTTGAGTTACATGGATCTATTCAAGCCATGCCACCTAGTATACTTGATATCAGGTCAGCAAAACTACTACAGCTGCAAAATATTATTGCTGACGTGGAAGCATCTCACCGTTGAAGTGTATCCGCATGCTTCTAGAAGGTATCGCGTTTTAATTTGTATATGTATACACTACTGGATTTCATCGATTAAGGTTCTATAAGTATATGATTAAATATTTGATATTGTTCGTCTTTCTTTCTAGCTTTCAGGCACGAAGAAAATTTTGCTATATTATGGTCGTAAAAGATAGAGACGTGCTTCTTATTGGTTGATTCGAATTCGCCGGAAAGACGTGTGTTCGGGTACATAGAAGGTTTCTGAGTTTATATTTTTTGTTGTATATTATATTAGTCTAGTCTTGACAGAAAAATGCTAAGCATACTTCATTGTATGATTAAATATTTCATTTTTGTGAAATTCGGACTTGATTTGTGGCTTCTTTATTGCGCTATTGATATTTAATAATATATTTAATTTTATATATTGGAAAATAATAAATATATTATATATAGAGGTGCAAAGAAGCATAAAATTTGAAGTTGATTGTGTTTCATTAAAAAAAAATGATGTGGCCACGTAGGATAATTCTCAGACCAAGTCAAACACCACGACCTTCTTCAACTACCAGTAACCGCCGTACTCCACCACTTTTGTTGCCGGTTACTTCCAGTATTTGAAAATCCCTCCTCCCTCTATATATATCTATGGTGATATAAACAAACCTCTTCAGAAATTGAAATATTAATTAACAGATTTTTAATGGCTTCTTTTACGAGTTTTGGCTTTGCCGCTTTATTCATATTGGCCATCACAAGTTCTTCTCCGGCAGCCACTGCGGCGGAGGGGTTCAAGGTTGGCGGCGACGAGGGTTGGCGGCAGCCAGCCGCCAACGACACTGAAATGTACACCCGGTGGGCATCAACCATGAGATTCCATGTCGGAGATTCTCTCCGTAAGTACTTTTTTTTTTTTTTTTTTTTAATATATATATAATATAATAATTTTCAAGTTATATTATGTGTAATTGATCTTCATTAATATTTATGTAACTATTTATTATTGTAAAACAAGGTTTCGTGTACAAGAATGATTCGGTGGTGGTGGTGGACAAATGGGGGTACTACCACTGCAACTCAACCCACCCCATCTCCGTATTCGACGATGGAAACACCGTTTTCAATCTGGGTCGACCCGGCCCGGCATACTTTGTGAGTTCCGACCCGGTTCGGTGCAAAAACGGGCAAAGATTAAATGTGGAAGTGATTTCGCTGATGCACGACGACCCGATTTCACGAACACCAGCACCAGCACCATTTTCTGGAGCAGGATCTAATTTCTTGGCCATGCCACAACTGGTTTTCTTTTATGTAGTTATTGCTTCAGCTTCCATTAATAATATGTATATGTAGGTTAATTTAGTAATATATTAGGATTAGGATTAGGATTAGGATTAGGGTGAAATAGTAGAGTGTTGTTTTTATAATTCATTATCTAACTCTATTCTAATAGTACAAGTGATATTGATGATGCGTACAATGAAAAAAACAAGGAATTAATTAATTAATTAATTAATGGAAGAGGCGAAGGTGTGGATTGTGGCGGGAAATGGATTTCCAGGGTTGACCCTCGTTGTCCCCGTAGACTTGTTCCAGTTGTGTTGAATCAGAAATATCCAACACCTTCAATGATGATGAAACCTTTTGCAGGAGGTGTTGCGGCAGCTCCATCAATCCCTCGCAGAAAAGGATCTCCAACTCCGTGAGGCAAGGCATTATTGAATACTCTTCTTCATCTTCTTCTTGGGCAGTGGTGATGTCCTCCCACTTGTTCCACTTTCGACAGCTCCAAAATGACAGTTTTTTTAACTTGGGAAAGCCACCATCAATATTATTATTAGTACCCGACGAACACGAAGTTGTTGTTGCTATTCCCAGGAATTCCCGTCCAACATATTCCAATTTAGATAAATCTTGAATCCAAAGAGTCTCCAGTAGCGGTAGTTTACCCAGGGGCGGCAGCGACGGAAGGCCTTCACAATCGCAGAGCTGAACATTTATGAGTTGGTTGAGGGGGGACGTGATCCATCGTGGAAGTCGAGAGCCTTCATAGTGATAAATCATCAGCTTATGCAGGTTTGGATGTGGTTTCAGAGCATCTACCAGTTTGGAACCATAAATATCCAACACCTTCAATGATGATGAAACCTTTCGCATGAGGCGTTGCGGCAGCTCCGTCAATCCCTTGCAGAAATGGATCTCCAACTCCGTGAGGCAAGGCATTATTGAGATAGCAACATTATCTTCTTCTTCCACCGTAATGTCTTCCCACTTCTTCCAGTTGATACATTTCTCAAATCTCAGTTTCTTCAACTTGGGGAAGCCACCAGCAATAGTACCCCTCGATGATGAACATGTTGCTATTCCCAGGAATTCCCGTCCAACATATTCCAATTTAGGTAAATTAAAAATCTCAAGAGTCTCCAGTAGCGGTAGTTTACCCAGCGGCGGCAGCGACACAAGGAATTCACAATTGTCCAGCTCAATAGATGTGAGTTGGTTGAGGGGCGACACAATCCATCCCGGTAGTCGAGAGCCGTTATAGCCCCTGATAGTCAGCTGTTGGAGGTTTTGGTGTGGGTAAAGAGCATCTAGTACTTCATTCCAAACCGATGTTGATGATGATGGCTCATCAACATCAAAATTTATTATCAGTTCCCGAATCTGCGTTTTTTTCGCCAACTCCGCTTCACGAGCATCCTCGACCACCACCGCTACTGAATCACAACTGCTTATTTCAATCAACAACTCCAGTTTTCCACTAAGTCGGTTTAAATTCTTCAACCACCCAACCTGGCTCCCATCAAAAGGAAGGACTTTATTCAATGTGACTAGACTCGTTAATTCGGCTATTCCTTGTGGATATTGCTTCAGAGATTCAGTACGTTCATTATACAAATGTTTGAGCTTCTTCAGCCTGTGGATCCCTTGTGGAAGTCCACACAGACTACGACACTCATTAACATTCAGGCTTTCTAATTTACTCAAATTGCACAGGCTCTCCGGCAACTCTCCCAGTCCTCTATTCCAGCTCAAATCCAAGTGTATCAACTCACTCAAATTCCCAATCTCCAAAGGAATTTCTTGTAGCCCGCACCAGTCAACCCAAAGAAATTGCAAGTTATACAACTTACAAATAGACTTCAGATCATCACCAACAAATTTATTATTACTCAAGTTCAACCACCTCAAGTGAATCAATTTTTCTATTTCTTTCGGAATGACTTGCAACCCACAACATCTTAAATCAAGTAACCTCACACTTGTTAGGCAATCACAAACATGTGGATCAAGAACTTCTTTGCACTCAAATAAACTACGATATTTTTCGACTCGGGAAACTAACAAAGGGCTACAGTCTTTGCAAGTTGTGTTCTTCATTCTTGATCCCACATTCTTCCTCAGGAATTCAGCGAAATCATGTACAATGTCATGCATCATAAACGATTTTATCTCTTTATCGCCGTCTTTCATATAAAAGTTTTGAAACAGAGAACGCATTGCTAAATTATCAAAGTACCCTCTCCCTCTAACTTTCCAGTCATCATGGGCATTCGATCCTAGGTAACCCATTGCCATCCATTTTGTTATTAGCTCATCCACATATATTCTAGTATCTTTAGGAAAGACGGCACAATAAGAGAAGCAACGCTTCAATGTTGGGGACAACTCGTTATAACTCATAAACAAATGGCGGAAGAGGTCGTCTTCTACTTCCTCCAACTTCCATATTTCACTATTCAACACGCTCTCCCACTCTTCCAATGTAGTCTTGAACCGTAAGAGACTTCCCAAAGTCTTTGCTGCAAGCGGCAATCCATTGCACTTCTTGGTTATCTGCTTACCTGTGCTCTCAAATTCTTCACATTGATCTTTGTTCTTACCACAAAGGGCAATCCGACCTAATAATGACCAACAATCTTCATCATTGAGAACTCCCAAACGATGGATCATCCAATTATTCTTGATAAACTCTCCCATCATCATTATTGCAACCCTTTCGTTTCTAGTTGTTACCAAAACTTTGCTACCCGTTCCACCACTTTTGAGAGCATTTTTCAGGGGTTTCCACTTGATATCGTCTTCTGTCCAAACATCATCCATAACAAGAAGAAACTTTTTCCCTGAAATAGACTTTTTTAGACGTTGCAGTAGCATTTCCAATTGATTGGTCCTTGGGGGTTCATCCAACTTTTCCACACTTGCCACAATCCCTTTCGCAATCTCAACCTCGTTAAAGGGATCTGAAACAGATATCCAAATTCTTAACTCAAAATAATTCATTACTTGACTATTGTTATAAGCTAGTTGAGCAAGAGTTGTCTTCCCAAGGCCACCCACACCCACTATAGATATGACGCGGATGCCTCTTATTAATCCTTCTTCACTACTACCACCTTCACCCACAAGTTGTCTCACCACGTCTTCTCTCTCTAATTCTCGGCCATAAATTTCCTCTAAGTCGATGAAAGAAGTAGTTTGACCCCGCCATAATTCACGGTCAGATGGCTGTGGCGTGGTCGCAAAACCGTACCGATCTTTCTCCGCCAAAATTAGATCAAGCCGTGCTACCACTTCTTTCACTTTCAAGGCAATATTACGACGCACAACAACTTTCTCGAAACACAATAAACACGAGGAAGGGATGAAGGAGCGTACCTTGTACAACCAAAGTAGTAAAACATTATCGAAAGAATGTTGTTCCGTCTCAAGTTCGCGAATCGCCGCATTCCATTCGTCCAACACGTCGTCCATTTCATAGGTCGTGTTTTCGAGCCTCGTCAGCCAGTCTCTGACGAGTTTGTCCTTGCACCCCTTCTTCTCCGCATCATCCAGCACATTTATAACCCTTTTCAGCTCATCGGAAAGACTATGAATCTCCTTCTCAACGCCGATCACCAATTTTACTTGGTTCAGGGCAGGCTCTGCTCCGAGACCTGCAATCCGCCCCAGCACAGAATAGATAGCATTGGCTGCCATGATTGATCACTAAACAGTTTTTTTTTCTCTCTCTCTAAATTCTGTGTATATTATTATGGTCTGTGGCTTAATTCTTTCCTTTCTCTGATGGTAATATTCATCAATAATTGTGACTAAGTGGAGATGTATGCACAAAGATTAAAAAAATACATCGACATTTTCCATGTCAACTGTCCAGCTGTGATGAGTGCGACGGTTATTTTGTCAAACTTTCAAATTTTTGTTTGCATTTTATTTCCCACATATATTTTTCAGTTTTAAAAATAAATCAACATCAATGAAATTTTGTTTGCATTTAAAAAAAAAGAGTTAAATACGTGATGAAGACGATGGTGATTTTTTATTTGAACAACTGACACAGAGTTTTATGCAGAAAGATTAAAAAAATACTTCTTTTTTTTTTTTGATAATTAATTAAAAAAAGACTTCAACGGACACAAAGTTTGTTATTGACATTTTCCAAGTCAACTGTACAGCTGTGAGTGGGGTTGTGGGTGAGTCATGATGAGTGCGACAATTATTTGGTCAAACTCTCAAAATTTTGTTTGCATGCATTTCATTTCTTAGATATATTTCAGTTTCAAAAATAAGTAAATCAATATTAATGAAAAAGTATATCCTTTTGAGCAATTAGTTTTTGCTTATGAATGAATTAATTCAAGAGTTATAAAATACTATTTACAAGAAAATATATATTTTAATTTCTTAGGTAATATAAGAAAATATATCACCGTTTAAGCCTCCATTAATATATAGGTAGATGCTTGTCTTTATAGTTCAGTTTCAAATTGTAATATAAAAAAAAATGTTCAATTTGCATCAAACATGATAGTATAATACATCAGACGAAGAGTTGGTCTTAAAATCACTGTTATTCGTCCAATTATATTCATCGTTACCCGTCGAAAAGACCACCGATTCTCCTCTACGGAACGAATATTCTTCTTCTGCCAATTTTGCCCCTACATTCGATCCCATTTGAGCCATTCTCACACTCTACAATTCCACAGCAACTTCTTTTATATATGGACGTTTCTTACCGTTCAAATCCAAACATCTTTTCGGCAGTTTTGCTACCGCAACAACTCCTCCACTTTCACCTCTCAACACTTGATCATCAAGAATCGAATCGAGGGTATTTTCGTCCATTAAAGACAAAAAACGCCTCCGAATATCAGTCGTCGAAGTTGTCATTATAGGCTTCAACCCAGTTATAAGCTCCACAAGAACAAACCCAAAACTATAAACATACTAGTAACCATAACCCGTGCGTTGCACGGGTACCATTATAAAACAAAAGATATTTAAAACTTAATATGTTGAATATAATGAAATTCAATAATTGAAAATACACCACACCATAAGAAAATCGT